TTATATACTATAACTATTGTTGCAGTTATTTTTGTCTCTATGGTTATCTCATTACAGTTGAGAAGTTACACGATTTACCTGTCCCTATTCGTACATCAAGTTTTGCAATTTCCCATTGTCCAGGTGAAACGCGTTCTCTGTGGCTGGCTGGCCTGGCTGTTGAGGATGGAGCGTCCTGGAGGCAGCACCACACGGAGGTCACTGACACAGAGGGCACAGGTCAAGGACTACAAGCTGGGGCCCCTGGAGGAGAAGTCCCGGAGTCTGATGGCCAACGTACTGGACATGGACGATGACCCTCGCATGGCCAACGGCAGTACCACGGGCTTTCTTATGAAGGTTGGCCATTTTCTCTGTGACCTTATTCTGGGTGACGAAGCGGGGTAACTGATAACTGAAGAAAACCAGATATAAAGAAATACATGTAGTTGTATTGAAGGATCTCAACTGCCACAAAAGTAGAATACAGGGTTTTGGGCATAACCTTTTTTTCTCAAGACACTCACACTTAATGTCTTTCTCTAGATCTACTTTACAAACGTATTTAAAAAAAGTTATTTCGAAGAAAAAGGACACAAAGAGTGAAGAAGAATGTAACTGAGCTGAAAAAAGCTGACTCGATGTGAACAGATTACACATGTTTACATGAATCAACAAAAAGTATCAGTTTGGGTTCGGGTCCTGATTACGTTACACTTTCGATGCGTCAAAGTTAACTGCTCTGTCCCTATATAGCTCACGCTGGTTCCGGCCCCTATGACGACATTGCGGTTTGAAATGGTCTGTAACTCCCCTCACACGGATTCTATTTTTGACTTCTGAAAAAGGGACTTTTCTGAAATACATGTTATTTTCGTAACTTAATGTTCATTAGATGGAGCTTTTAGACGTAATCCTTTCTTGTATTGTTAAGGCCTATCGAGACATTACTTCTCTCTAATGAGCAGATAGTAGGCAGAATTGATTTGTTCAAGAATCAGCGAGCCCACAAAAATAGAGAAGATACTGTATTTGAACTTCCTCTTAATCATCCTTTTCTTTAGGACTCTCATTTTATATATTTTCATTTGAGTTAATTTCCGGATCACTCTCAAGTTGAGCTCAGACTCAGACGAAAACATTTAAATGAACTCACCGGGGATCGGAATTCGTTTGTGAACTCAGTATCCTTCTCATTGTGCTGAAACAAGCGTGAAATTAAGTTGGAGCTGAAGAAAATCGATGGTTCTCCTCTTACAACTGTTGTAGTGGAACAATGTTTTTTTTTTGTACTATTAAGGCGAGCGAATATGCCCGAAAGGCTTTTGATGGATTATGATTAAAATATTTTGGAAGGAACGCATCATGTTTTGGTTGGAATTTTCATATTTCAGTAGGCTGTGCTTCTTGCATATAAATCAAATCTAAATCTAACCGAATAATCTTTAACCTTGACAGTGGCTAACAGGTCACATTTCGAACCGCAAAGATAAAAAGGTATACATTTGTCAGTAGTTAACCACATGTTGTTTTTTGTACCTCTTCATACAGAACAGTGGAGTTGAGTAATCTGTAACGTTACCAAAGTCTTGAACCCAATTAGTAGATTATTGTAAAGGAATGATATACGAATAATATTTTGTAGAAGAGAAAAAGAATCGCAATAGGCTCCTAAGAATGGTCCCTTCCTACAGGACATTTATTATCCGCAAGGGCATTTTTTAGCAGCAGGTGAAAGTGATCAGTAGAGACACATACACGCAAAATGTAAATAACACAAGCACACTTCAAAGTAAACATCATGTGTTCCACATCTTCATCCCGGAATGTCTGCCGGTCTTTCTCTCTCTCTCTCTCTCTCTCTCTCTCTCTCTCTCTCTCTCTCTCTCTTCTCTCTCTCTGCCTCTACCTCTCCCTGTCTCTGTCTGTCTGTTTGTCTGTCTGTCTGTCTGTCTGTCTGTCTGTCTGTCTGTCTGTCTGTCTGTCTGTCTCCCTCTCTCTCCATCCCTCCCCTTCTCTCTCTCTCTGTCTCTCTCTGTCTCCAGAGCATAGGGGGGGGGGGGGGTAATCGCTGGAAAAAAGAAAGGAAGGGTGGATGTTGTTTTGAAAAAAAAAGCAACCCAAAGTACTGAAACAATCTCAAGCAATAAGAAATGCAAAATAAGAGATCACTCATATCTTTCAGCCTTAGAAACTAGAAATAGAACTTGTGAAACGCACTATAGTACAGTCGTAGATCGTGGATCCATTACTAATTTCTATCCCGATGAAGTTTGCTTTTTTGTCCCCATCATATTTATTCCGAACAGATGGAGGAGAGCATGGGAATGAACTCGTCTTCAGTACGTCACGACATCACGAGCATCTTGCGGGAACTAAAGAAGATCACCAGCAGATACCGGAAGGAGGACGAGGAGAGTGACGTCAAGAACGATTGGAAGTTTGCCGCCATGGTGATGGACAGATTGTGTCTGGTCGTCTGCTGCGTGTTCACACTGGGCTCGACCGTCGCCATCTTGGCTTCAGCGCCACATCTTCTTGCATAACCACTCTGTGGATATTGGACTGCCCCTCAGAGGCTAGCGAGGAAGGTGTGGCTTTTTCAACCATGAGTTCAGTGCTAGCGTGTTTAGGTTTTTGGGAGGGGTGGGAGGGTAAACATTTTACACCATATCAGACTCTTTAAAGTCGCCTCGAAAACGGAGGGTCCCTCAATGATGTACACGATTTGAGAGCATTGTTTTTCTTGTCAAAACTCTCGGTCGCCGGATCAGCAAGAAAGAAGGCCGGACAGAAGAGACAAACTAAACATGCCACTATTTCATCTGAGAGGTTGTGATGTATGAATGGCCTCTCGTCAGTGAGGGGAGAGAAAAGGAGGAGGCAGGTATTTTTGTCGATTGTGTCCTTTGTTATCAGTTATTAAAGTGGACAATTCCTCCTTCCTCAGCTTTTGTAAAAGAATGGGTCCCTTTTTGGGGGAAAAAAAGGGGGGGGGGGGTATGGTGGCTTTGATGATAATCGTAATCTTAAAAGAAAGGTCTTACTTCTTTCTTTTCCATACCACCGTGTAAAGAATGTACTGGGGATTGGTATATTGAGGGTTAATATACACTGTTTATTATTTGCGAAGTTTCTTCGTACTTAAGGGATCAGGACAGGATAATATAGTGAATAAAGGGCAACTTGTTATCAGTGTAAGTCATATAGCACTATTTCTGTTTCGTCCTTCCACTCTTTGATTGTTCCTACGAAGCACTTATCTTTCAATCCTCTTACATCAGTCTGACGCTGCCAGCGTTTAGTAGCTCTAGAACCTACCAAGTTTTCACTTACTCTGATTAATACGATCTGCGTCGTTCTCTCTTCCATATTAACTTAATCGAAAACTGTCCACGCTCTCCGGGTAGTGTTGACCTTCCATGCGACGTTACTGAACTAAAAACATCAAGTTTACAGCTGTACAATGTCATTGTACTTTAAGGGCTCTTTTATTGCAAAAGGTGGAGTAGGCCGAGAATCATTTCGGAACGGGTCATAAGGGCGAGCGAAGAGCTCATATTATCTAACAATTCAAAGAAGGCTCCCGGGTTGCTGTAGCAGTGAACCAGACATAATTTTATTCGAAACAGCTTCGATTGTTTTTTGTAAATATTCTATTATCATAATTCTAGTTAAAAATTCGTGGTAATTCTGGTTAAAACTTTGTTGAAATTCTGTACACTTGTCCCATTTACATGTATGGGTGCAATATTTTCTTGGACATGACATTAGGCATTTCAACTAGCTTGATTTCTTTCTTCTCTGAATTTGCCTTCAGTCCTTTTTCCTTTCGAAGTTCCAAAAAAAAAACTTTCCCTTTTTTTGGAGTGCTGTAATCTTTTTTCCGCAGCTCAGTCTGGAACTTAACATGTGGTAGGCGTTCAATGAATATCCAAACAGAGGGATAAAATCACCATGAACGCTTCACAACCGTTTGATATTCTGACACAGACATTCCAGCTCAATATGACTGGTGGGAAAGAGCTGTGAGCTTCATATGATAATGGAGCATGACCCAAAACATTTGGATCGTATAGACTCCTAAACTGCAAAACAGACAATTGTGAAGTTTCTATGCAGATGTAAACTTAGGCGAGAATTTGCATGGGATAGTTATTTTTTTTTAAACCTGCCGTTTTGTTGCAAATAACCAAAAACTAAAAAATTATTAATTCAAAGAAACCGAAAAGAACACTTCACCTTTGTTCCGACAGCTTCCGTCCGATGACTCTCGGCTTATTACTGCCAGTTGGCATGGTAAAGTAATGTTAGATCTACCTCTGTCAGGATAGTAAAATCATTTAATAATATCTTAAGTAAAGTAAGTCTGGGTGATATTTTGCCTCGGTAGATCTTATTCTTAGATGATGGATCTAGATCTAGATCTAATATCTCAACCACTTGAACGCGAGGCGGACGAATTCGGCTGCTCAGCACCTTAGTTATCGAGTAAAGTAAGGCTAGATCTAGATCTATCTCTATAAGGATCGTACGGTCATTAAAAAAAACAACAACCTAATATCTTAAGTGAAAGTAAGTCAAAAGTATTTAGACAGATCTAGGCGAGATCTAATATCTCAACCACTTGACCGCTCGGCCGCTTAATACCTTAGTTAGTTATCGAAGCCCGTAAAACCTGTCCAAGTCGTTTGAAATCTTCTAATGTCTGAGAATGCCACTGAAAAAGCTTTGCCCTGAGTGTTTGTTTATTTGTTTGTTTATTTATTCATTTATTTATTGTTACTGGTTTAGGATTGTTTTCTTATTCCGGCTCGTAGAACAGGTTCATCTGCAAGTCAATATAATTTCTCAAGTTAAAGTCTGCAAAGGCGTCTGTTGCATCTAATGGTAGTTTTCATGGCATGATAGTGAATGCAAAACAGTTTTCCACTTCTTCAGTCGCCATTTTTGGTGAGGCAAAACACAATTTGAGCCTCTTTCCAAGTTCTGAGCCTGTATCTTTGTAAGCTCTAGTAAGTCCCGGTGGTTGTTTTGTTTAAATTTTAATATTTACGATTGTGTTAAAGAAAACTAAATCAATGGACGAGTTGACGAGAAGACGAGTATCGAGCATGAAAAGAGTCGAGTACAAGCTAAGTCAGCCCAAAGATAGTGAATAACAAGATGGGCCACTCAGCCAAAAAATGTCCGCAGGAAGTATGCTCTTTGCGTCAGATGGCGCTGCAGTCTGTTTTGAAGCTCTCTTTCGTTTTTCCAGAAGAAGAATAGGAATAGCACCTCCTTGCGTGCGCAGATCGACTGCTGTTCACCAGCAGTTCGGGTACGTTCAGTGCGGAGTTTAAGTTTTTAAAAATATTTTAATGACCTCTCGCCTTTCATTCTAAAGTCAAATTAAACGAAGAAAACCATCACCCTTTCCTCCGGAAGAGGTTTTTTGTCAGAGTAACCATTTAAAAAAGCGTTCTTCCGAAATTTATCCCAAAACTTGCTAGTTTCACTTTGATTTTTTAAAACTCAAGTAGGGTAACTCTGTTCCGAAAGAGTGCGCTTTTGTGAAGTTGGCGCCACCAAATTTTGAGGACACTTTTTTCATTGGCTCAAAGAGAGAAGTGGCCCATCTTGTTATGTACTATCATTGGTCAGCCGTATATTCGCTCGCCCGACCTTGTAAAACGGAAGGTGCACCCTCCTGCGTCGTGTCCAAATAGTTCAACCATTCGAGCGCGTTTGTCGTCATAATGAACGCGATCGTAGGCATACTTTGCTCTCTCTCTCTCTCTCTCTCTCTCTCTCTCTCTCTCTCTCTCTCTCTCTCTCTCTCTCTCTCTCTCTCTCTCTCTCTCTCTCTCTTGGTCTATCGCCTTTCGTAAATGGTGTCCTACATAGTGGCACTCCAGGTTGTTATGAGCAGAAACCCAAGCCTGAAAACATTATTATTTCTATTCAGATTCAGAACAAGCAAATGGGGGAGCTATTCATTCGTGACATACTGAGAGTAGCAAGAAATCATGCCTCAGCTATATTACCCGATACACCTACACGCCGTGCCAGCCTTTTACTTTCAATAAGTCACTCAGATTTTTCAAAGAACTCAACTGTAAAGTTATTTGGCTTCTTAAATAGTTGAGGGTCTCTCTAACGAAAAGCACGCATAATTTGCCAATAAAGGTCAAGGATGCCCATTTTAACACTTCACGACCCCTTCCCCCTTTTCCATAAAAAAAATATCAAAGAGGCTTTTTTGCAAATGGTAAGGCAACTCTTTGACAGTAGACCCCCTATGGTTGCACCTTTTCTGTTAACATTATCTGATAGGTTGTTAAAACGATTCATTTCTTCGCTACTCTTTAGCTATAACCTCTGTGCACGTCACAGCATCTGTGGCACTCACTTTACTGCGGTCCACGGCTGGCTCCATTCATACATATATTATATATATATATATAATATATTGTATTATATGTATATATATATATATATATATATATATATATATATATATATATATATATATATATATATATATATATATAAAACACACACATATACATAGACATACACATACACACAAATTTGAATCATGCCTCTGCTCAACGTCGCAACAAATGAATGGGTTTGGTTGTACAGGGAAAAAGGAGAACGTTTCGAGTTCTGTGACGAGGGCACAGACAGCAAATTTATCAATGCTTGTTAGACAAGGAATGTAAACTTTCTGGCATCCTCCCTAGATTCCCTTCCCGAGGTTCCCTCCCTTGTCCGCTCGGCGGTTTAGTAAGGGTACCTCTGGATGGAGTCTTACGATAAATAATGATAATAATAATAATGATGATGATGATGATGATGATGATGATGATGATGATGATGATGATGATGATGATGATGATGATGATGATAAAGCTCTCTTCTATAGCGTCCACTGTCTGACGGCTCTGCGAACTTAACTTCAAATAAAAGAACATTTTGAGAGTGCACACAATGGCACGTTTCATGTACACGGGCCCAATCAATGAAAAAGATGCACCAGTGGCATACCAAAAATTATGTTCTGACAAAGGAACACATGCATAATCTGACAATCTTTGTGGCTGCTGATCCCTCTTATTGTTGGTAAAATAAGAGCTTAATATATATTTCGATTAGACCGGTTTTAAATGTGGTTAACGTTGATGCCTCTTTTAAATGCAGTCGAAGGAAATTCCACACCAAGGGAGCAATTACTTCAGGAAAAGCCCTACCTTTAATTTTAAAGATTTTCCAAGTTACTGTCTTTATTCTTCTTGTGTTAATGGACCGTAAATATTGAGATGGGTTATACTTCTGAAGGAAATTAGGAAGATATTGTGGTGCCAAATCTTCAAACCCTATAATATTATCATCAACATTGTTCTCTTGTAACTTCATTTGTCGAAAAGTGTTAATTGACGTTTTAAAATGAGCAACATTGAAGAGAAAAGAAGTATCATTTGTGAGTAAAAATAAACCAATGTAGGGAGTTTGGATATTTTTTTAAATTGCGCTTCAAAACTTTGATATTCCATGGCTGATTTGAACTAAATTAGATTGACTGTTGTATCATATTATATGGTACTTTGAATTATATTCATTCGTATAAATACAAATATTAATACACATACAAGAAAAAATAGCACACTTTTCAAGTAATTGTGTATGTATCGATATTACTACTGTTTACATGTTATTTTTGTTTTGTATGATATAGTTCTGATTTGCAAACATCGCAGATTTTAATCTATTTTGCGTATAAACTCTCTTGCCTTGTTCTCGCCCTTCTGTCGTTTGGCGGTTATAGGAAAATGCGAGACGCTGTTACTGAGGTATCGTTAAGGGGGGGGGGGGGGGGGGGGGGCTACACCTGGAGGCTATCTCGCTTATTACTGGACCGAATTTTACCAAGTTTCACACATATAACAAGCATAGTAAGGAGTCTTAAAATCTGCAATCAAATTTGAGAAAAAAGTTTCGTTTCCATGGATACGCCGCCATATTGGATTTTATTGACATGTCTTACGTAATGAATACCGCACTTATCGCTCATGGAAATTGATTGTTTTTTTGCATGCGTGTTTACAAACATTAGGTCTAAAAATTTGTCTGTTGTTTTTTTCCTAATCGAATTAGAAATTTTTTAATGAATTTTTTCCTGAGGTAGCATTCAAGTTTACGAAAAATCCGTGAAAATCCACACTCCAGACACCACCAACAAAAATCTATTCCATATATCAAAAATTTAACTTACAAATTTTTAGTATTACCTCTTCTCTTCATTCTGTGAAAATTTCATGAAGATTGGATGATGTGGGTTCTTATGTGATGAAATAGTTGTAGGAGAGGCTGAGGAAGCTAAAAGTGCCTGCAACTCAAATTCCATGATTTTGAGCCGAATTTTGATTTTGGGGGTGTAGCCCCCCCCCCCCCCCCCATTAAAAACGTTGCGCGCGCATTGTCAGCGTATTTCTGCTGATTCAGAAGGTAATATCCCATTTAAAACCCAAGATTTCAGTTTCATGACAAAGTTAATGTAAACATACTCCCTACTGAGTGTTACATTGTACCATACTTCTAACAAGATCATAATATTTTTACAAGACTTGCAGACCTCTCTGCTCATCGTTTAGTACGAAGCGGACATAGTAGTAGCACACCATCCACTGCCTGTCCGGAACGACCATATTTATGACACAATAGCGTAGTCCTTAACTCACCCAACCGTTCTATTTTCATAAGCCCTATGCCATATTATGTCATTATTCTTATTTTTGCCCAAAGGCTCTTTTTAAAAGGTGAAATTCATGCTGGCATGTCATGCATCTTTTGTCCGTCTCTCATTCCTCACTGTCTCCTTAGTTTTTCCGTAATTACTTTAAGGCAACTGATTTTTTGATGTACTTCTCCCTAACCTACCAAAAGAGGCGTTTGTAATAATATGATGAAAACAGCACTGGCCTGACGGCACAGGTCTATTGATCTGGTCCTTATGTTGTCGTCGCAAGCCCAGCCCGAACATCATTTTGTTGAAAGTCTCTGAGATTTAAGCGACAATATATCACACATCTTGTAGCAGACGTACTGACCGCTTTGTTTCATCAATATTTTAAAATGTTTCATGAATCAATGTCATTTCTGTGTATCCTGTAGATATATTCAATTCTTGATTATGCTAAATTGTCAACAGAAATGTTCTTTCATTTTGATAAGTACACCTTTATCTTCATTACAAAAAACACCGCATCGTTCTGATTGTTGCAGATTGTAAGCATGTATTGTCCTGAATTTGATAAGTGGGGATGGCCACCTAAGTGCGTGTCTTCTCTGAACTGTCTTATCATTGATAGTATTTGTATTTTGATGTGTCAAACTAGGTCTGTTCAGAACGTTCTGTAAGTATCATCTTTTGCATCCCCTTATATTACTGCCCCAAAAATAACAATATGGTGAAGCAAAATTAGAGTTTCAAGGATTTTTTTTCAGTTAGGCCCGGGCGCTATTAGTATACGGTACAGTAATACAATAGTGTCCATACAAAGTGGCAACAAAGCCGCTGGCTGCTACCTCTGGTATGATAAATGCGTAAAGAGAAAGTAATCTTTTGGGAATGTACATAAGAGTGACGCCAGGAATTTGCTTTATGTACTAACTACAGCTTCGACATGACACTCCCAGTTGTCACTTCTAACACTTTCCAAAGTGGGCACCACTACGTTTATCCGATATTGAATCAATCACACCTGCAGAAGTCCTTCAAAGAGTATACCTTGTTGTTGTGCTTCTTCCGGCAAAGCATTATCGCATATTTCAATTTGGCTAACCATTTCTTGCATAACTTTAGGCTGTTACACTAGTTTTCTTTTCTGTACAAACCTTTCACTATAGGTCTCATTCTGCAGAAAGCGCTAAGAAGACTTAAAGATTTATACAAGAAAATAATGTAGCCTACTACTTGTATCGGCGTTGGGAGGCGACGCACTCCTGATGTACATGTACTCTATGAAAAAGGCATGAAAGAAAGAGGACGGATTACCTTTCAAAGACGGTAAAACTACATGCATTCATTTATCACGGGCATAAAAACATTCAGATCAAAATTATACAACAAACATTTAAAAGCTTAAATTATGCCATCACAGTTATTACTCCTGTACCATCATGAAACCAGGAAAACTCTTTCCAGAAATGTTCCACGATACAATGACAGTCTGATAAACGAGCTTAGAATTTTTACTCGACATCGATATATATTTATATATATATATATATATATATATATATATATATATATATATATATATATATATATATATATATATATATATATATATATATGAGAGAGAGAGAGAGAAAGAGAGAGAGAGAGAGAGAGAGAGAGAGAGAGAGAGAGAGAGAGAGAGCAACTCTTGAGGAAGATATTCAATAACAAAGCTGTTAAGTTGTTTTTTTTTGGATCACCCTGTGTTTGAGATCAGCCATCATTTGAACGCAGTCACTTATAGTATAAAGTTTAGAACTATTCTCTTTTTGCACGCAGTCCACTTAACTATACTATCCAACAATTTTGTTCATATTCCGGATCATCAAAATAGTATATTGCAATGTTTGGAATCGTTGTAGATGATCTTCATGGCTGGTCAAACATTGTACTATATGTCATGTCTCCAAGTTTGTATTGTCTGTAATAACATGTACGCTTTGTAAAGATGAAGCAGTAGGAGAAATAAAGTACATTTGTACATATCGTATCTCAAGAATGAGTCGGCTTTACGTAGATGATTAGTTCTTATGAAATCCTATGTTTATGCATGTCCTTTTGATCCTCCCTGGGTGTTGTAATTTCCAACACAAACATAACTTTCGCCCAAAACAATACTTTCCCTTCCTTTCTTTTCATCTTTCCATTTGTCATTTCACAATGTCATTTTTCTTTTATCCCCTCCCCCTTCTTTCCCAACCCATTATATCCATTATTGTCGCCGTCATCAATTTCGTCGCCCCCCCCCCCTTCTTCCTCCTCTTCCACCTCACCTTCCTCCTTGTGTGCAGTTCTCACCTCAGTGACGCCATCGTAAAGAACTTGACCTCCCAGTAGCTCTCCAACTGCCCCTCCCATCACTTCCTGTCTCGTTTTCCTTTCAGTTTTCTTTCCTGAGTTCGATTAATCGCAAACATCACTTACTTAAAAAGGAGAAAACAAGGGAGTACAGACGTGACAAAAAAACACACGGAAAAGCAGCTTCATAAAATGCAACATTTGTTTATTTCAAATAAAAAATTCCGCAATTATGTTGGGGAATAAAACAACCAACCCTGGATTCTTTCTCTTTTTGGATCACGGCGAAAGCAAACAGATATCGGACGCATAAAATAGAACATACTGTTTCACCTGCACACATAAGCACCCGCATACAAGCATACACGCATGCTAACATAATATGCACATGTGCGCATGGATATACGCCACTATTTATACACTTACATACTTGTTCATACACCCTTATAAATTCCCTTTATAACATCAACACAAAAGCAGTATATAATGCTAATGCTCAACAGCAGTCGCTACTTAAGTTTTTGGGTGCCCTCAAATTTCGGCAAAATCTATTTATTGTAATCACTATGGAGCACTATATACATATATACATTTTCTCCTTTGAAGACTCTTTGTGGGTGACGCCACGGGGTCATTTCCCCTTTTGAGTTGCACCTTAGAAAACGAGAAACACAGTCTCTTCACGGAGGAAAAGTAAGCAACGAACAAAGATATTGGTAGGTGTAATGATTTCTATAAAATTATATATTATGATTTTTTAAAATCTGATATAAATGGTAAATGTGGTTTATACGGCATGTCAACATATCAAAATTCAAAAGCGACTCGAACTCGATCTACGCATTCAAAAACTAAGTTACAACTGTTAAATCTGCGCTGCCGTAAAACTGTCAACAAGAGGTGTACAGAAAGGACCGGAAATAAACGTGAAACGTTTAATAAAACCTCAGACAGGCCTTTGAAACGTCCAGCTGGAAAATGAGATTATCCACTTCCCATAATGCAGGTCATTTCGAACATAGGGCTTATGATCTCTATCAGGATGCTTGGCATATTTCACTGTCCTACTTCAGTGATTCCGATCATTGTGGTAGTGGAACAGCTGAGTCTGAGAACATGATGCCTGGGGACGGAGAAAAACACAGAGTTATGAATGTCACCCTGAGAGCATTCCCGACACTGTCTGGGGTATTCACGACATTATTTGAGGATACTAACTGCATTGTCTGAGGTCCTTAGTGGCATTGTCTTAGATCATGAACAGCATCATAATAATAACTGTACTTGTATAGCGCATATTCGTGCTTTACATAATCGTCTATACATGATCTATACACTATGCAACTTTTGTTACTCCGGCAGATCCTTGAGCACTCAGAAATGTCATTGGCTCCTCTGGAAGTGCATAGTGCAAGCAGCCGATGAAGTACTAAGACATATTAACAAACTGAAAAGGTCTTTCGAAGTCTAGGTATCCATTCCATCTGGGTGAAGTGAGGAAAGGTCCGTAAAATATTTCCCCAAAGACATGGCATCGTGCCTTTGATGACAGCCTAATCACTAGACCACAGACGTCATTCGCTACGACAACAACACAGAAATGACCCAAATCAGAAAATAACCTACCCTTTTACTAAAAAAGAAAAAGAAAAGAAATAAATCAACACAATCAACACAATACTATCCCATAAACCCATTTCTCACCTGCTATGGAGGCGGTCAAAATGTTGGCTACATTTCCGGCGACGAAGGCACTGATGACGAGGTCAACCACATCCGGTTTGCGGTGAGGGCACATGGGTATCAAAGTTCCCATACAGAAGCCTATGGCTGGGAACGCTGATAAACCAAGCATGGCGTACGTGGTGATCACTTCTGACCTTTCCTGTTAAAAAAAATAGATTATACATTTTTGGTTTTTGGGGAGGGGTGGGGGGGGGGGGAGGAGGAGGGAAGAGATGATGAGTAGTGAATGGATGTTAATGTGTCAGGAGTACCCTCATCATCATCATCATCATCATCATCATCATCATCATCATCATCATCATCATCATCATCATCATCGTCAACTATCATCAACTACTCCGATCGTCAAGTAAATTGAAGCTCTGCACAAGGGATGTAATGCCCAAAAACCTTTATCCGCACACAGCTGTTACTCTTTGCTGATGCCACAGGCGGTTCGCACGCACAGACTTTGTCCCCAGAAAGATTTCAGACACAAAATTATGGCTCTCTTTTTGTGTTTTCAGAAATGAGGCATTTCGCCCCTCCCCATCGACACAATCAAATCATTTGGGAGGCGAACTTTGATCCTGCTTGTCCTAGCCAACCTAAGCTGAGATGGATACAACGTCAAGGAAGACTGTGATAAAAATTCTCCTTACATGGGAATCAAAGTCAGGTTTTCTGCGTGCGAAGACGAAGTGTCTAGCCCATACACCACAATGGTATTGTCCTGAGATTAACTTTGTCAGTCTCTAACAAGATCAGACTGCAAGTGTTTCAAATCTTTAAAAACAATTAATGACCCAAAATATTAAAAAATGTGGCTCCTGTCGACCTCCTATAATCTCAAAGTAATAATGCTAAAAGAGTTCCCACGTTGTTCACACAGAGCTGACTTACTGCCATGAAACCGTTAACCAAAGTAACGTTTGTGGAGTCCAGTATGACATCTGTTCCTGACCAATGATACGTTCCCATTCCATTTGTATCGATGAGGTATTGTTCTACAGACCTTCGGTTCTGAAAGGAATGGAAAACCGTTAAAACATATTCAAAATATTGCCATTTGTATACGACAATGTCAAAATATTTTCACAAAGAACACCCCAAAACTAGCAGGGAGGAAAAATTGTTAGAGAGAATCATCATCATCATCATCATCATCATCATCATCATCATCATCATCATCATCATCTCAGCAATACTGATTGGACATTGAGAAATTAAAAAAGTAGGAGCAGTAAACGCATCAAACGTAAACCGAAATAAGCGTAGCAACAACAAAACCGAGGACACCATCAATACGTGCTGTATGAGACTCACCTCGATCATTTTTCCCAGGTCCACGTAGGCCACAAAAGGTGTGGCAAACAGCTTGACTCCCATCAGTGTACCAACAGGGCCGCAGTCTGCAGGCGGCACCCCCATGGAATAGGACAATGGGTACAGTAGGTAAGAGCACATGTACTGTGGACACACACAATATCACACGGTTAAATACTCCCCTATAGTCGTGTGTCCCTTGGAGAAGAAATGCCAAGTAACATTTTTGGCAAGCCTATCTGTTGAAACTTTATTTCATTTATTCCTCCGCTGGAAATACAACAGAGTAGTCTGTTAGGCCCACACGGCTATCGGTTACCTATTTTTCTTCTCTATTTCTTTTTTTTTTCTTCCATTTTCCATGTTAAATCTCCTTGGTAGACTACTGCTGGTGCTCCAACCTGCGGCGCAACTGACCTTTACGTTTTTCTTACTTTGCCTCAAGGTAGCTACATTTTGATTTCGAAGGTACTCTCGTTTTTTTTTTGCCGATTAAAATAGTTCTAATTTTGGTCGGAATGAATTTTGAATTCTATACAGGTGGCGACCAAAATCTATTCTTTTCCGTTTTATGACCACCGTGATATCTTTAACATGCGCAGATTGCACACAGACCTCCATGGTTTTTCGCCCTGATCCAAGAAGGCTGGGCGTTAGGTCTTAGTCACCCTAAGATTAGGGGTGTAGCTGAAAGACAGCAATAAAGAGAAGCAATGAGAAGCAGTAGAAAGGGTCAGAAATAAGGGAGAGGGTAGCACAGAGGACACCGGAAGAAGGGGGTTAAAGTGGTGTTGAGAACAGACGAAAAAATAGGACTAGAGAACTGGAAGGGAGGACAAAGGATACAATTTCGGAGGAGAAATTAATCTCGTTCCTGGCAGGTTTCGATCTCAGGACCTTTTGACTGAGAGGCGAACACAGTACCCACGGGAGCTCCGTCTTCTTTACCGATAGCAATGCATTTACGTATCTCTTTTGGTTTTGGTTTTTTTTTTAAAGCATCAGGAACAGAATGGTACATCGTCTACGGCTACATTTTATCCCGGGGAGCCTGAAATCGAGCTCACAATTTTTTCTGCTAGCCCAATAGTTCATAGTTGCACCAGTACGTTTCAGCAGATTGACTGGTTCGTCGCAGTTACCCCATTTTTAGTAGAAAAATATGTTCTTCCAGTGGCAGACTATACAAATACGCCAATAAAGAGAAGAAGCAGACCTCACCAGAATGCCTACCAGCTACCAATACATCACCAAAGGCTTTATTGCTGAGCCATGAAGAGGACAGGATTGGAACTGGGTGATCTAAAAGAGTGAATCACAGTATGTACATTTTTTGGGGGGTTAATCTCTAATCCAGTCATTTTTACTGGTTATTGATAACTCATAAAAAACCCAATATTTGAACAGCAGGATAGACAAACCGTTTTCAATGTAGACAAATAACACAACACAAAACTCACCCCAAACGTGAGGTTTTCTATACCAGCCCGCTCGCCCAGCCAGACCAGGAGGTGATCCACAAGGTTCATGGAGGACACAAACGCCATCATATTCACCATGATGGAAGCCACCAACTTGATGGAGAACGCCGCACCGTCGGAGCACGCCTGAAGGATATTCTTCTGCTCTCTGTGAACAAAAGTGTGTTGGCTATTGTATTTTCCTCTGATTTGAAAGCGCCTGTCACATTAAATCTAACCGTGCTTTGTGGTTAGCTACGACCTTGCCTTCTTAAGAAAATATTCGATGTTCAATTCAGAGGCGCTCTAAATACTAATTATTTACTTTCTGAAATATCAGCTATCATCCAAAATTTTTTTGCTGTTGTCAGGCACAGGGATTTTATACACCCTTTGACAAAAATGGATCTTCAAAAAGGATACATGTATTCTACTGTTGTGCGAAAGGTCTATTTCTTACCCCCCCCCCCCCCCCCCATTTCTGCAAGAACTGCAGAATGATTGTCAGAATGTATAAATCAAATGTTTTGGGCGTTTTTTTTGGGGGAGGGGGGGGGGGGAGTGTCAAAGAGAATGCAAATCAATGGGCGGGAAATGTATCCGAAGAAACGTTTTTTCATGCAATGGTATACGTAGGTATTTTCACTCATTACTTATAATGGTGATCTTATTTGAAGAGGCTTGTCTAGCATTAGAATTGTTATCCTACACACCGAATGAGATAAAAACCAACTGTAAGTTTTAATGAAAGTCACTTATAATTTTCACGAACATCTAATTACTGCGGACCAGCCTAGCAAGGTCACGACTTCCGTCTGACGACTTATCTCTTCCTGCCCGACTTCTCAACGAAACCGTAACCCTATCTCACAGACCCGGCAAGCTGAGCAAGAGCACGCCAAACTCCACTCACTCATCTCTCATCCGGACGTTCCTTTGGCTGTCCAAGTCGACCCCCTCGAGCTCCGGAACCACCAGCTTACTGACGGCCAGGGCTGCTGGCGCCGAGATGACAGCGGCGGTTAGCAGATGACTGGCAGGTGCCTTATGAAAACAGGAACCATTATTAGCAACTGACAGGAAGGGGCGTCGGAAAACAGTAATCATTATCAACAGAGAACTATCAAGCAGTATTTGCTATTTGACGATAAATAGTATCAATTCCTCAGGGCTCCTGATTAATTACAAAAAAGCAAATCAACCTGATTTTGGGGTTACTTTTACAGCTTTCATCGATTGCTATCAAACGCTATACACTATCGGTGTATTGACATGGATTTAATATTAGATCTACAAGTGTAACAGAATCATGATTACATTCATCTCTATTACTATTTCCAACCCAAAACAAGACGATAGCCAACACCGCCGCCACAAAAATATCCAACCAAGACAATTGCAATACCAACACAAACATTAGACATAGATCCCAACACTCACCCCAGCCTGTATAAACATGGCCATGAAGGCGCCGGAGATGCTGGCAAAGCCACAGGTCATGATAGCGTGTAGCTCCGACCTGGTCACGGAGTGTAGGTAGGGACGGACAAGCAGGGGCGCCTCCGACTGGACAAGAGCAAATCAAAGAGAGCGAATGAGAGAGAGAGAGGGAGAGAGGGAGAGAGAGAGAGAGAGAGAGAGAGAGAGAGAGAGAGAGAGAGAGAGAGAGAGAGAGAGGAGGCAGAGGAAAAAACCCCAATCAAAACATTGAGATACTTGGACTGAGCTGTTTTTTTTTTTTCTGATGTGGTTCTTCCATGAATTTTGTTGAAAGCGTGAACAGATGGCTGGAGGGCGCCACGCGTAAGTCTTACAATTTAGTCATCCCGCTTCTGTTTCTGTCTGTCTTCTTTTCCATAAGGAAAACAATAGTAAAAGTCGTTATAAACCGCTTTATTAAGTTAGTCAAAAGTCTATACTGAATTTCTAATGATACATATCGCAGAGTCGTCTTGCGATAAGCATTTTAATGACATAGCAATATACATGATGAAACGGTGACTTACCAGTCCTATGAAAATGTTGGCAGCTGCAACCACAGACTCCACGGGCCCTGTGCCCAGACAAAAAGCCAGAGCGCCACCTATACGGAGGACGATGAACTCCAGGACACCCACATAGTCCAGTACAAAGATCATGGCGTTGAAGAAGACGATCACTCCAGCAGTCTGGAATTGGTAGGTGTGAGTTGATGATGATGATGATGATGATCATGATGTTGATACTAATAATAATAATGATAGTAATGACAATAATAATGATGATCGATGATCATCTTTGTTGCTATGGCGTAATCACTCATTTTTTTCTCAGATACTATGTTCCTGAAGAAGCCTTATTGGCGAAATGTTGAACATACAGGCCTATACGAACATCTGATTAAAGAATACCAACCCTATCCAAGTCTCAAGTATATATATATTTTTTTATTTTTTTTTACTGTAGAACATGATGAGACATGGTGAGACTTTTGCTTTTGGATTTCCCTTTCTTTTTGCTGTTGCACTTGATTGTACATCCCCACCCCCGCTTTTCTAAATTTAGTTTGAGTCAGTCCTGCGTGAGCTTTCAACACTATGTGTGACCAATTTTAACGTATCTATACGCTCAGCCAGGACTATAGGACTATGGCAGTAACGACTTAGCTTTTCTTTTTCCGAGCTTTGGCTCTTTCCGATTTTGTCCAAATCGCACCAATACGTAACTTATAGTCAACGCTTTGTTAACTGTGGTGTCATCACTCATTTTTTTTTCTCCTCAGATACTATGTTCCTGATGAAGCCTTATTGGCGAAACGTTGAACATCCAAGCTTATACGAACATCTGATAAAACGACACCAACCCTATCCAAGTCTCAAGTATATATATTTTTTCTACTTTAAAACATGTTGATGATGATGATGATGATGATGATGATGATGATGATGATGATGATGATGATGATGATGATGATGATGATGATGATGATGATGATGATGATTTTTTTTATCCATTACCTGATGACGTTCTAGATTACACAACGTAGAGCGATTTTGGAAGTTAATTTTTAACTGTAAACAACTCATTTCCTTGTGTTGTTTACTTATGCATCGTA